CATCAGTATATCCTTCCAAGATTGGATCAGCTCCCCCGTAACAAAGACATAACTTAGAAGTACCCTTCAAGTATCTGAGAATCCATTTGACTGCCTCTCAATGCTCCTTCCCGGGGTTAGAAAGAAAATGACTCACTACACCCACTGCATGAGCAATATCTGGCCTGGTACATACCATTGCATACATCAAACTTCCAACTGCTGAAGAATATGGCACTGCAGACATCTCCCCCACCTCTTCCTTGGATGTGGGACATGATCTTTTGCTCAACTTGAAATGATTCGCAAGTGGAATACCCACTGGTTTGGCATCACTCATATTGAATCTTCAAGTACTCGTTCAATGTACTTCTCTTGAGATAGCCATAACTTGCCGTTCTCTCGGTCTCGAGTAATCTGCATCCCAAGAATCTGTTGAGCCTTTCCTAAATATTTCATATCAAAAGATTTGAAAAATTCTTTCTTCAGCTGACGTATCTTCTCTGCATCATTCCCAACGATCAACATGTCGTCGACGTACAGTAGAAGAACTATGAAAGCCCCATTTGGGTATCTCTTGATGTAAACACACTCATCTGCAGTAGTCTTCTTGTAACCTTGACTCTGCATGCATGAGTCAAACTTCTTGTTCCACTGCCTTGGTGCTTGCTTCAGGCCATACAAGCTTTTAGATAGCTTGCACACGAGGTTCTCACTTGAAACCTCAAAACCTTCTGGCTGTTGCATATAGATTTCTTCTTTCAAATCTCTGTGAAGAAAAGCTGTCTTCACATCCATCTGTTCAAGCTCCAGGTTCATACTTGGCTGCCAAGCCAAGTATGACTCGAATTGAGGTCATCTTGACAACTGGTGCAAAGATCTCGTCAAAATCAATCCCTTTCTTCTGCTGAAAGTCTTTGACAACCAATCGAGCTTTGTGTTTCACCACTTGTCCATTTGCATCTTTCTTCAGCTTGAACACCCATTTGTTTTTCAAAGCCTTTTTCCCTTCTGGAAGTGTAACAATCTCATAAGTTTGATTTTTCTGCAGAGAATCTAATTCTTCCTGCATCGCAATCATCCATTTTTCTTTATCCTTATGAGATATGGCTTCTTGAAAACTCTCTGGTTCTCCATCTTCTGTCAATAGAAGGTATTCAGATGATGAGTACCTTTTTGATGGTATATGACCTCGTTCAGATCTACGAGTGGGTAGAACCATCTGAGAAGAACTTCCAACGTTGGTGTCTGGAAAAATGGGTTGTGACTCCCCTTGCTCTGACAAGATGGATTGTTGCTCCCCTTGCTCTGTCAAGATGGGTTGTTGCTCCCCTTGCTCTGCACTCTCTTCTGTCTCCTCGTCTCCTTCTGGTACATCATCTTCATTGTTTCTCCAGAACAATTCTGGTGCTTCATCTGAAACTTGAGCACCGACATTTGACTTCTGAGACATCTTGGGATTTTCTATGTCTTATATTGTCAAATTCTCTTGGAACACAACGTCCCTACTTCTAATCACCTTTTTCTCCTTTGGATCCCAAAATCTGTATCCAAACTCTTCATCTCCATATCCAATGAAAATGCATGGGATGGACCTCGCATCGAGCTTCTTTCTAAGCTCTTTGGATACATGTGCATATGCTACACAACCAAATACTCTGAGATGTGAGTATGTCGGATCCTTACCAGTCCATATTCTCTCTGGAACTTCAAAATTTAATGGAACTGAAGGTGATCGGTTGATTAGATAACATGCTGTCTTGACAGCTTCTCCCCAAAATGGCTTTGGTAATTTTGCCATATTCATCATGCTTCGGACACGCTCCATGATAGTCCGATTCATTCTTTCAGCAACGCCGTTGTGCTGAGGGGTACGTGGTACTGACTTCTCATGTCGAATGTCATATGTACGACAATATGCATTGAACTCCTTGGAAGTATATTCGCCTCCATTATCAGATCGGAGACATTTCAGCTTCTTCCCTGTTTCACGTTCCACCATGACGTGAAATGACTTGAAGTACTCAAACACCTGGTCCTTCGTATTCAGGAAATATACCCACACCTTTCGAGAAGCATCATCAATGAAAGTTAGAAAATATCTGCTTCCACCCAGTGATTCAACCTCCATGGGGCCGCAAACATCAGAGTGTACCAAGCTTAACAACTCTGATCTCTTTGTTGAATTTGCATTGAATGAGACTCTGTGCTGCTTGCCGAACAAGCAATGACTGCAAGAATCCAATGCAGCACTCTTATCAACCTTGATAAGATCCTTCTTCATTAAGGTAGTCAACCCTTTCTCACTCATATGGCTAAGTCTCTGGTGCCATAGATCCTGGGAAGCCTCCTCTGCAACATTGAGACTTTCTGTACTGATCTTCAAATGTGTTTTGTACAGCGTCCCACAAACATGTCCTCGGGCAATTTTCAGAACACCCTTTGACAACTTCCATGTGCCTGCACCAAAGTGATTGTCATATCCTTCTTTGTCAAGAGCCACCACTGACAAAAGATTCAGTCTAAGATCCGGCACATGTCTAACATCCTTCAATAGGATTGTACTCCCGGTTCCTGTCGTCGCCTGGATATCACCAATTCCGGCAATATTAGAGGAACTGGAATTTCCCATCTTCACTGATCCAAAGTCTCCAGCTTGGTATGTTGTGAAGTATTTCCTGTTGGGAGTAACGTGATAGGATGTTGCAGTATCTACCACCCATTCCATGTCTTCTCGTGAAACATGAAGGCATGTCTCACCATGGGTAGAGCAATATGCTACCCCTGAGACAGTGATGAGAGTTTCACCACCCTTGCCCTTGTTCTTCTGCTGAGAACTATTCTTCGGCTGAGAATTGCTCTTGCCCTGCTCCTCGAGCCATTTATAACAATTCTTCTTCATATGACCTTCTAGACAACAATGATAGCACACATGTGATCTCCGATCATCTGATTGCCTTCCCTTGCTTCTACCCCTGCTCTTCCCTCTACCGCTTCTTTGTTGCTTGCCTTGTGGTCTTCCTCGATTCTCCATTACAAGGGCATGGGTCTGATCTGTGCCCATGTCTTTCCTTCTTGCCTCTTCATTGAATAAGGCATCCTTCACAACGGACATGGAAAGTTTGCCGTTTGAGGCTGAATTGCTGAGAGTAACAACGAGTGTTTCTCAGCTATCAGGAAGGGAACTAAGAAGTAGCAGAGATTGCATTTCATCTCCAAGCGGCATCTCCACACAAGATAGTTGATTTACCAGGCTCTGGAACTCACTGGTATGCTCGGCAACAGAAGTTCCACTTTTCAACTTCATATTGACTAAGCGCCTCATCAATAAGGCCTTATTTCGAGCGGTCTTGGCCTGGTACATGTCCTCCAGCTTCCTCCAAAGGACATATGCGTCGGTTTCTTGTGCAACATGATGGAAGACACTATGGTCTATCCATTGTCGGATTTGACCAATAGTTTTTCTATTGATTTTCTTCCATTCTAACGCCTTGGACGGATCAGGGTTAATACCCTCCAGCTCTATTGGGTCAAAGAGCTCTTTACAGCTGAGGAAATCTTCCATCCGAGGTTTCCACAACGTGTAATTGGTAGCCGTGAGCATAATCATAGCTCCAGAAGATGAGGTTGACTCTTCCATGGCCATTTTACACCTTCAATTATCTGTTAGGGACAAATCGGAGCTGTATTTCGAAAAATAGACAGCACCGTTGCATCCGGAACAGTCGAAAATGGGGGGGGAGTTTTTTTTTTTTTTTTTTC